TTGGAGGGGGTAGAAGAGGGTAAAGGGTTTAAGAGAGGTGAGGGGGGTTGAGAGAGAGGGAGGGGGGGTAGAGGGGAGGGGTGAGGGGGGTAGGAGAGAGTGAGGGGGTAGAGGGAGTGTGGAAGGGGGTGGGAGAGGGGTGGAGGGGATTGGGGTAGGGGGGAGGGTAGGGGGAGAGTGGGGGGGGTTTTAGAGGAGTGAGGGGGGGAAGCAAAGGGGAAAAGGGTGGGGGGGGGGTGGGGAGGGGGTTTAAAAGGGGAGAGAGTGAGAGGGGTAGAGAGGGGTGAGGGGGGTAGAGGAGAGGGGAATGGAGGGGGTTTTAGGAGGGAGTAGAGGGGTTAGAAAAGCGAGGGGGAGAGGGGTAGAGGGGAGAGTGGGGAGGGGGTGGGGAGCGGGAAAAGGGGGGTAGAGAGGAAGAGGGGGGGGGAGGGAGGTGAATGAGGGGGGGTAGAGAGGAGTGAGGGGGGGGGTTAAAAGGGGAGGGAGTGAGAGGGGTTTGGGGGGAGAGGGGAGTGAGAGGGGGGGAGGGGATGAGAGGGGGAGGGGAGGGGGAAAAGGGGGGGGGGGAGGGAGTGGAGGGGTAGAGGAGGGAGTGGAGGGGTTAGAGAGGTGGTGAGAGGGGGAGGAGGAGAGGGGGGTGGAGGGGGGGGAGGAGTGAGGGGGGGGGAGAGAGGGGTATGGAGGGGGGGGGGAAGGGGAGTGAGGGGGTTTAAGGGGGAGAGGGGGGGGAGGGGTAGGAGAAGGTAAATGGGGAGGGGGAGAGGGGGGGGGGGTGGGGGATGGGGGGGTAGAGGGTGGAGGGGTTTGGGGGAGGGGTGGGGGGGGGTAGAGGAGAGTAAATGATAGGGTAGAGAGAGAGTGAAAAGGGGAGAGAGAGTGTGAGAGGGGAGAGGAGAGGAATGAGAGGGGGAGAGAGAGGGGGAGAGGGGTAGAGGAGAGTGAGGGGGTTTGGGAGAGGAGAGGGGGTGAGAGGGGGTAGAGAGAAGTGAGGGGGTTTAGAGGAGAGTGAATAGGGGGGGTTTAGGGAGAGGAGGAGGGGGTAGAGGACCCCAGGTGGGGGGTTTTAAGGAGAGTGAGGAGAGGGGGAGAGAGGGGGGGTGAGAGGGGAGAGAGAGGGAGGGGGGAGAGCGGGGTGGGGGGTGGGGGAGAGAGAGGGGGAGGGGTTTTAAGGGGAGGGGGAGGGGGGGGGGGGTAGAGAGAGGGAGAGAGGGGGGGGAGGGGGAAGTGGGAGAGGGGTAGGAGGGAGGGGGGAGAGGGGGGGAGAGGGGGGAGAGGAGGAGGGGGGTGGGAGGAGAGGAGGGGGGGGGGAAGAGAGGAGTGAGAGGGGGAGAGAGGAAGGGATGAGGGGGGTAGAGAGAGGGAGGGAGGGGGAGGGGAAAGGGAAGGAGTGAGAGGGGTTTTAGAGAGGGGGGGGGTAGGGGGGTTTAGAGAGAGAGAGAGGGGGGGGTTAGAGAGAGCGAGAGAGAAAAGGGGTTTTTAAGAGGAAGAGGAGGGGGGTAGAGGAGAGTGGAGGGGTAGAGGAGAGTGAGAAGGGGGGGGGGTTTTTTGGGGTGGGAGGGGGTGAGGGAGGGGGGAGGAGGGGGGGGGGGAAGGGGGGGGGGGGGGGAGGGGGTGGGGGGGGGAGGGAGAGAGGGGGGAGGGGGAGGGGAAAAGGAGTGAGGGGGAGGAGAGGGAGAGGGGGGGGGAAGCGGGGGGAAGGAGGAAGAGGGAGTGAGGGGGGGAGGAAGAGAAGGGGGGGAGAGGGGAAAGGGGAGGGAGGGGGAAGAAGAGGGGGGGGAGAGAGAGAGTGGGAGGGGGAGGAGGAAGGGGGAGGGGGGGGAAGAGAGAATGAGAGGGGGGGGAAAAGGGGAGGGGGGGAAGAGGGAGGGAGAGGAGAGGGGAGAGGGGGAGGAGGAGGAGGGGGAGAGGGAGTGGAGGGGGAGGCCCCGGGGAGTGAGGGGGGGGGAGGAGGGAGGGGGAGGGAGGAGAGTGAGGGGGGGAGGAGGGAGTGAGGGGGGAGGGAAGGAGTGAGAGGGGGGGGAGGAGGAGTGAGAGGGGTAGAGAAGGGGGTGAAGGGGGGAGAGGAGGTGGGGGGGGTAGGAGAGAGTGAGGGGGGGAGGGGGAGGGGGAGTGAGAGGGGGGGAGAGGGGGAAGTGAGAGGGGAGAGAGGAGGGAGGAGAGGGGGAAAGAGAGAGAGGAGAGGGGGAGAGAGAGGGGGTGAGGGGGGGGAGAGGAGGGAGAGAGGAGTGAGAGGGGGAGAGAGGGGAGGGGGGGAGAGGAAGGGGGGGGGGGGGAAAAGGGAAGGGGGGGGGAAAGGGAGGGGGAGGGGAAGGGGGGAGTGAAAAGGGGGGGGGAGAGGTGAGTGAGAGGGGAGAGGAGGGGGTGAGGGGGAGAGAGAGAGGGGAGTGAGGGAGGGGGAGAGAGAGAGTGAGAGGGGTTAGAGGGGAGAGGGTATGGGGGGGGGAGAGAGAAAAGGAGAGGGGGAGAGAGAGAGTAAAGAAGGGGGGAGGAAAGAGGGGAGTGAGAGGGGGAAAGAGAGCCGAAGGGTAAAAAGGAAAAGCGGGAGGCGAAAGTGAGAAAGAAAGAGAGTGATAGAAACCCGGAGCGAAAAAAGGAGCCTATGCATCATTACACCAGTTCGCTTTAGCCCCCCCCCCCGAACGGAACCACACAAATTTTTTACCTGGTCTTAAAAAAAAAAGAATGGTTTTAGGTTTTGGAAAAACATTTCCTCCCAGGTAGATGTTCCAGTGTTCAGTAAACCCCAGTTTCCAGGCCTTAGAATTAGGGCCAAAAAGGTTGGCCGAATGATTTGAAAAATTCTAGCTGGGTGGGGGAAACCCAGGCCAGTCGGCCTTTTTTAAAAAAATGGGCCAGCTCGTTAGAATTCGGGCTGGTGACGCCGTTACTTTGCAACCACCAGTGATCACGCTGGATGCTGTAATGTTTAGAAGCCTTTGGTGTTAGCTAGCACATGGACAAGAGAAAGCTGTAGTCAGAATGACAAAAAATTTTTCCACCATAGGGAAACCTTTTCATTCTTTTTTGCACTACACATACTTTTTGAGAACAGTAGCCCTGAAGTTTGATTTGCAGTAAAGTTAGGTAGCAAACAATGCATTTAAAAACCCTTTTTTCATCAGCAGGGGTCAAAGGCATATAAGGGAAATTAAACCTTAAAAACCCAGAGTTGAAAACAACTAGCTAGCTAGCTAACGTTTGCAAGCAGGAAAATTTTAGCAGCTAAATCATATAAACCGTTGTTGGTTTTTTGGTTTCTAAAGCCAAGCCAGGCCCAAACAAGGGGGAGGAAAATTTAAAGGTATCTAGTTAGCCTGTTTTGCTAGCGAGAACAAAAGTTTAGTAGCTAGCAAAATAGCAAGTAAAAATCTTTGCTAAATAATGGTTGAGTTGGTTGCCCCAAAGGCATGAGTATGGGGGGAACGTTAGTTTCAGCTGGGGAGGGTGAATACAATTCTTAACACTTTCTAGTAGAGCAAAAATTAGCGAAAACCCCGCTGCACAGTCACGGCTACCAGCAAAATTTTTAGGAGTGGAAAAAACCCCAAATTTGAGCTAGCCCCCAAGGCCCCCCCAACCGGGTGATTCCAAAGTACCAGTGGAAACGGGGCTTAAGAGGTTGGTCATTGGAGGGGGGGGTGGGCATTAGTTAAAAGAAAAGAACAGTACTTTTCAGACTTTAGGTTATAACGAATGTGCCGTACTTAACAGGCCATTAATGATAGAGAACAGGAGAGGTGACAGGGAAGTGCTTTTCACAATCTGAGAAACTGGTCTACTGGTGTGTTTGGTCAACTGCTGTCAGTGGTTTTTTGGTAACGTGCACATGTGTAACTACTGTTGTAACTCTGTATAATCTACATGAATGAGAAAAGTAAAAAAGCACAATGAAAAAAAACCTAAAAACCAAATTAGCTCACATAACAAAGTCTAAAGACGCACACACACACTCTATGCTCCGTCCCCCCTTGGTGAAACAAAAATGTGGGTGGAGTGAAGGGAGCGAGAGGGAAAGGGGGGAGGAGAGAGATAGAGACAAGAAAAAACCCAAACCCCGCAAAAGGAACCATAGTCCCCTCACTACCATTCTTAGTCCCCAACACAGCAAGGGATCCATTTTGTCCCCCAAAAAACAGAAGGGGGAAAACCCCTAGTCCCCCATGTCCCTTCACTAGTCCCCAAACCCGCAAGGGAACAAAGAGAGATTTTAAAAAGAATGAGAAAAAGACAGAGAAAGGGAAAGGGGGGGGATAAATAGTTTTAAAAATAAAGAGGGGGGAAGAGAAATGGGGGGGGATAGAGTGTAGTTTTTAGCACTCGTGGTGTCCCCCCCAGGGGGGGGCCCCAGTTCAAAGGGGAGGGTGGGGCGGTGGTTAGGTTTTGCTATTCCCCGGGGAAATTTTAGGAGCCCCCAAAAAGGCGAAGGGGGGCTGAAGGGCCCCCCCCCACGGGG